GACATCAATAGCCAGCCAATCTGCGATTTGCCGACGAGCCACGCCGCCGCCGGCCCAGCAATGGGCGCTGGCCCGCAGCAACCTCTCGCCCGCCGCGAACCTCGCGCTTGGCGGCGCGTCAGATGCGATAGGCCTAGATCATGTCGACCTCGCGGCGTCGGCTGCAAAGGCGCCCAAGGACAATGAGAAGGTGCCGCCGGTGCCTATTTCACACTGCGCCGGGTCTCACGGATGCGAGGCCAAGCTCTACGCCGCTTCGCGCCTTGACCGTGTAGGCGTGCAGTGGGCTCTTATGTTGCTCTCGTGTTTCGGCAACGGCAAAGCTCTCGTCTTGAGCAACCTCAACTAGTCGCGCGTCGCGGCGATTGCCAACGTCTCGGACGACGAACCTCGACATTTTCTGCACGCCAACCGTCGCGCTATACAAAGGCCAAGAAGAAGGCCGACGCCGTGCCTCGTCACCGCAGTCACGGCGCCAGACCACCCACTGCGAACCTCTCACCCCGGCAAGTCGCGCCGTGGCGCCCATCGTTGCGCAAAAAAGCGTCGTCCACTCACCCAAGACTCGATCCTCGCATGTACATCATTCTGCAAGCGCTCTCGGGCAAGAACACTGAGAAGCAGACGATCGTCAGCTGCCTCGTCTCGACGCTTCAGGCAGGTACAGGCGCGGCTGCTACAAGCTGCCTCGGCGTGCTGATGGTCGACGGTATCGACCCTCATCTCGTCCTGCGCCAGCGACGACCTACACAACACGACGTTCTTCAGCCCCAAGGGTCCGCTCTATGACTACTAGATGTGTGTATGTATCTGTGAATGTAACCCCGTGTAATTTATGCAGCTATCTTGACCCAAGTGCTGTGTATTGGACCAGATGCAGCTTCAAACTTGCGATCGAAGCGCCATTTGATGTCGAATGGAAAGTGGTTCGGGCCTTAGTACTAGTAGCTGCGCTTGATAGGATGCTTGACTGCGCCGACGACGATGCTTGATGTGCCTGCCAGCGCCTAGAAGCGCGCATTGGCAATCGAAAGACGCCTCACGTGGCCGCCCAGCACAAAAGCTGCTAACATCGACACCACTACAGCCGCTTCCTAGCTTTGTGTCTCCAATTGCGCAGTGTCGTGTGTCCTTAACCACCGTCCTTCTCGATGGTCGACACGAGCTCGTAGGCGGGAACTCGACAATGTCGACCGCAAGGCTGGGGCCTCACGCACTTTGTGGTCGGCGACGCCGGGTCTGCGACTGCGCACCAGCTTCATAGCTCGTAGCGCACTCGACTTGCTTCCTCGGATCTGCTCTTGGTGTCCACAGGCCGCGCCGTGACACGAACATCTTGGACGATGGCTGGACGCCATCTCTAGCGCCAAGCTCTGTTTTGACCGCGATCTTAAGTAAATGCTTCTCATTGGTCTTATTTCAGGACATTTATAGCCTATCACAAGCCGCCAGTTGCGATCGACCGCCGACGCGATCGCGTCGTGATATCGACATTCAAAATGGAATCGCCCATACTTTGCAGACGTATACACTTCGGTCTGGAGAGCCCAACACACCAAGTCACGTCGCCGATCGATGTCTACATCGAGAGATATTCCCCGGCAACGATCCCATCGCATCCCATCAGGGAAAAGTCACCACCAGAAAGCTCGATGTCATGACAGATCGCGACTGGGTGATCTCTTCCAACTTGACGCAACGATGCGTATGCAGTATTGCTTTACCCGCGTCTTCATCACATCATGGTCAAGTTTATCGTCGCCGCCCTCGCGCTCGTCGCCAGCACTTTTGCGGCCGCTGCTACCGTCGACACGCCGGTGCTGGGTGTCGCTACCAAACTGAGCGCCGAGGCGGGTCATACACAACAAAACCTTCGCGAGGGCGCCCAGAAGGAGTGCTTTGGGTCGATCTGCGGCTTTGGTTGGGGTCTTGGTGGCGGCTGCGGTCTCTTTTGGCCGTTCCGTTGCGGCGGCTGGTTCTAGACGCCACGTTTTGTGTGGAGCGATTGACCAATAACCG